GTACGTCCGCTCCCACAGTCGCTAGCGGATGGAACCCAGGCTATATAGTTTCAATACTTAAGCATAAATGTACTGTTTTTGTTTAATCTTTTAGTATCAATTCTCTTTTGTTGGTGATTATATCAGTTTTGTGATAATTACTTTGGGAAAAGTATCATATTGAGATTATGATTCATTTATGTCTTTTCTGGATGTGAATATGTTGGGAAAAGGGGGTGGTGAAATGAAACGCAGTGCAACCCTTCCACTTAAGTTAAAAGGTTTTTAATTGGTTTACTGTCTCTTCGCGTAGCTTTTGTCTCTAATAAAAGATGAAGAGACAAAAAGCTGCATCGGGAAGTTTTAGATTTGAACTAGAAAGGCCAATATTTGCTTTGGAGCAAATACAGCGATGGGTTCACCACATTTTACGACATGGCAGGGAAAGAATGAGAAACACAAGGGAAACAATGATTTACATTGATATAACTATAATATGAAGTAAAATACAACTAAAACAACGAGTTGGATAGCTATTCCCTATTTATGGTTAGATTTTAATGCATAATGCAAACTGTTGATTTTCAAAATAAAAAAAAACGTTCATGCCCCGCATTCCAATGCTGGAGCAGAAAATCTTGAAATACCTACCAAAACACTTGAATACAGACATGCTCTGTGCAGGTGGAAATGCTCTGTGCAGGTGTTGATCAAGTTAAATCCCAACAGCCAATCAGCAAGAAGAATAGAGGAAAGCTGCATGCCTGTTGGTTGATGCCCTGCATTCCATTGTGATGACTCATGCCCAAACGTGGTAAACAAGGCACACTAACGACAGTAATACATTTGCTATAACACAGCTAAAAAACTCAAATAAAACCATTCTAAAAGCCTGTATCACAATAATTTAAAAAACGCCTAGGGGTATTTGCCCACTGTACCTCCATACCAAATTTCAGGACCTTGGGCCCTAAAATGAAGAAGCTGAATCCATTTAAAAAATGGCAGGAGAAGGAGAAGGAGAAGGAGAAGAAGAAACATCAGAAAAAGCAATATGGGTTCACCACCACTTCGTGGTGTGGTGAACCCATAATTATAGGACCCTAAACTCTTCCCTCATAATCTTAATGAAAAGCTGCCAGCAGTGATTATTTTTTTATTATTTCATGAATAAGCAAAGTCTCAAAACAAACAACTAAACATTTGTTTTCCCACCTTTAGCAAATCACGATCCCCGTCAGCACGCAGCTGGACATCGCGACGCAGCACCACTTGTTCATGATTGGTCGTGGCGGGATGCAGATTAAACAGATCATGCAGCGGACCGGCGCGAGCATCCACTTCCCCGACCCCAACAACCCACAGAAGAAGAGCATGGTGTTTGTGTCAGGAGGGATCGAGTCGGTGTATCTGGCACGGCAGCAGCTGATTGTACGTCCAACAGTTTCTCTTCATTTGTTATTCACATTTATTTAAAGAGGATTGGGCAAAAAGGCCTCTCCTATATGACGTGTATAGTCAACTATAAAAACATTTTAACAACACAAGAACAGCAACACATAGAAGATACAAGAAGGATGATGACAATAATGACCAGTTTCTGTTTCATCTCTTTTCTCTTCAGTAGGTTGAGGGAACAATACCTAGTCCAGATCATAGATGTTCTGTTCCTTATTATCTCATTTTTGTCAGATTTTCAACATTAGGCACTGACCTCTGGCCTGAGCTTTTAGGCTGGCAGATTCTAAACAAGCAAAGAAAAACTTAACTTGTCCTTTTGTGCCCCCCTCCCCCCCCCAGGGCTGCCTACCTCTGGTGCTAATGTTTGACATGAAGGAAGATGTGGAGGTCGACACGTCCAAGATGGCCAGACTGATGGAGGAACTCGACGTCTTCATCAGTATCAAACCTAAACCCAAGCAACCAAGCAAGGTACTTGTAACATGTCTACAGCCTGCTTTACACATGTTATCTGAGTCGACTTCAAGTGGACAAGGTTCTGTTTACACATGGGGGCAGCAGTGTGTATTACACACATGTTTTAAACATGTTTATTTCTTGTGCAAAAACCATGTTTAAAATGGGGTACAAAATGGGATTAAAAGCCACGTAACTGATTAAAGCCACATTATTTAAAGCCCTACAGAAACCATCTACCCATTAGTTGTAAAGGCTTATCATTATCTAAAAATCAAGTGTGGCCAGTAAACACATGTACTCAGAGCCTACCTTTAATTTAAGATTAACCAAGTTTCTTCTTCTACCAATCCAGTCGGTTATTGTGAAGAGCGTGGAACGGAACGCTCCGAACATGTACCGGGCACGGTGTCGTCTGCTGGGGTTGGAGGAGAGTGAGAACATCCCGCCGAGCACGTCCCCGCAACTTCCCACCATCAACATCAGCTCCGACGTCAAGACGTCCTGTACCACCATGAACGGCTTCACCAGCGGAAGCTTAGGTCTTAACTCACTAGGTAAGGGGAGGGCGTATAGATGTTGTGAAATCTTGATCCTCAAACATATCAAAATAAATAGTAAAAGTATTAAAATGATTTCATCATGCTGGCAAGAGTCTTTACAAGATTAAGACAGTTCCTTATTCAACAAGCAGTGGGTTTTCACATCCAACGTTTTGTCAACTGTCTGACACCTTTGTTAGGGCAGCAATGACTTGTTCTGATAACTAAGTGTCACTCAGCTTCTGTAGTATTACAGAGGGGGGGCAAAAGACTGACGAACTTGAAATGGTGAATGATAAGTTCATGGTACAAAAGTGATCATGAAAACAGTAAACATAGAGGTACCATGAAAAAAAAAACAGGAATCACAGTATTCTCAAGTTGTTGTTCTCTTGATCTTGCAGGTATTTTTGGTTACAATGCTGCTCTTAACATCAACACGACGCCCACCTCGGTGGCCTCACTCCTGTCGATAGCTAACGGTCACGTTAGCCCGTTGCACAGTCCGCAACCCTCGCCACCAGGCACGACTAGCCCCAGCACATGGGGGCCTTCATCTCCTCCTAACCCACCAGGTACATATGAGGCTCTGACACTGGGAAAAATACTAGTTGTCATCACTTGATTTTCCAAAGTTTCTATATGTATAGCCGGTACAAATGCCCTTCGCGTAACATGCCAGATTCACACACACACACTGGGCCATGTGGCATCAGCTGTCTATCACACTCAACAATGTCATTCCTATCCTTTGCACATCTAACTTAAAGTTGCCCCTACTGTACTTAGTGGCAACGACTTCCACTCTGCAGTAATTTGGAATTAAAAAAAAATAATAATCTTGCATCTGGTGAAGGTGTACCAACATAAAATGTTTAAAATGATAGATGAGATTTTGTAAAGAGTGATCAGTCATTAAATCACGGTAAGGAAAGACTTAGTTGCTATGGTAACTTGTCATTTTTGTTTATTTCTCAGTTTACTCCATCCCACCGATGGTCACACCCACCCAGCTGAGTGGACTGATGCTGAGCCCAGGGTTCCTGAACTTCCCCACCCACACCCCCTCCCCTCCCCCACCCCCCGGGGCTCCCCAACCCCTCCCCGCCGCCGCCCCCGGGGCTGGCCCCCCTGGACGGACAGGTCAACAACGTCACCAGTCAGGTGGCAGACATCCTGGCTAAAGCCAACCACCCTGGAACCAGTCATGACAAGGTCAGGCACCCGTACAGCAGTTCTCAACTTACTGGAATTCCTGATTTTTTTTCATGGTACTTTTTATATCTTTATATATGAATCTTGGTCAGTTTTTTTAAAGGCATTTCATGCTTGTTTGTCAGGTACACGTGTCCTACCAGACCCCCACATACAGTTCTACTGCGAGTGCCTTTGTGAGAGTGCCTACACCCAACACTGGGGACCAAGGTGAGAGGATGTTTTTTTACATTAAGAAGTAGAGTTTCCAAACCTATCGCTTTTCGATCTGATATCTTGTAATTGAGTAAGAGGAGGCCCATCTGGTAGTAAGAGAGCTTGTATAAACAGGCTAGTTTGTGTAGCTAATAGTGAGAGAGCTTGTATAACACAGACTAGTTCATGTAGTAGCTACCAACTGTGCCTATGTGTTCCCCAGTCCCCCCCAGCAGTGCAAGTAGTCCCGGCTGCAGCCCCCGGCGGAGTCCAGTGGACCAGTTCAAACAGAACGGCAGGAGAGCCAGCTCACCCGGCCTGCCTGGGGATGGTAGGGTTCTGGTTCCTTTAAATTTTCTGTGCAGATTTTGAATAATATGAGCTTGCAATGTAGCCTGGGTGCCACCCTTTTTAGGTCTAGTATGCTCTATTAGTTGCCCGCTTCCCAAAATGACTGGGCCCACACATATTATATCCATCTGGTGATGATGGAACAAAATGAGCTAATTAAACTGTCACTGGTCCCAGCCTCTGCTGATGAGATGGCATTATGCTACTGCACAGGTTTGGCCAATCGGCTCACCCGTTCAAATTCTGAACAGATATTCAAATCACAGATGGAGAGAACATGTGCAGACCCAGGGAAGTGACTAAAAGAGCATACTAAAGCTAAATAGGTTGGCATCTAGGGTACTTGCTGTCATTTGTAGCAACATCAAAAGGTGATATTTGAGATATTTTCCAACGTGACAGTTCTAACGCTAACATTTCCTTCACAGTGGAAGTCCGAATGCTGAAGTCTGGGAACAGTTTTGTGGACGTGGTGATCAACCACAGCCCGTCATCCAGCGGCAATTCCACCGACCTGAACATGCTGAGGAAACTCGCCTCGCTCAACAAACAAACTGTGGAGCTGGTGTCCGGGGTTAGGAACGCTGAGCTGCAGTAAGTACAACATGGGTTTTGCTGTTATCACACATGGGTGCACAGAAAGTGCAAAATGGCATGAAATGGAGCAAAATAGAATGAAATGGAGTGACATGAAACAAAATATGGAGCAAAAACAAGATTGTGGATAGCACAAAATACTAGGAAATTTAATTGGTTAAAGGACTAGAGTACACAGAAGTCTGCGGTTAATAAATGCCTTTAGTATTGTACAAAATGAAAATTTCTCTGTTCTTTCTCGTAAGTCTTGACCTCTCTTATAAACACACCCTGTCTGTTTCTTGCAGTATGGCAGACAGAAGGTCCTCGGAGTCTGGGGAGTCGGACTGCTCAGACAAGAGAGCTCCCGGCTGTGAGAGGGAGAGAGAGAGGGAGCTGGAAAGGGAGAGGGAAAAATTCTTGAGGTCATCTCAAAATCTGTCCTTTACCAGCCCGTATGAGCTGACGGTGAGTTTGGTCAATTTATTTGTTGATTTATGCCTTGTTAATGTTAACTTGTGTAATTGTGTTTGAGTTGATTGAGTTTTTAAAAGACACGAAATAAATTAATAGAATAGCTAGATGTAGTATATGTATATGAAAATGAAATGCATTGGCTGGTACACTAAACACTCCTTTTGTTGCACATTTTGTTGTCATTCATGTACTTTAATTCCACACAATGTTTGATGGAAATGTGCCAACATGTCACCAAGTTCTTCAGACAAGACAAATTCCTTGATTTAATGATTGTAGTTGTAGTGTTTGAATGCTACAGTAACTAAGGAAGCCAGATTTTGATCATACCATATGTTTCTTCATGTCTTCTAGGCATTTGACTATGAGAGAAAGAAGCTCCAAGCCACCAAAGCTATGCAAAAGAAACCTCAGGTGACACAGGTAAGCCCAACAACTTGTAGCTGTTTGTATAAGTTAGCAGGTTAGGCACCTTTGAGATGGTCAAGTTATCAAACTTAAAATGATAAGAAGAAAAATAATGTATTTTTTTGCTTGACTTCAAAATGTGGCATTTGAAACACTGGTAACAAAATGGTTAGTAAGTGCAAGATGTGAGATTCAAATAAATAAAATGTGGAAGTTACAGTTTGCCTGTTGGTTGTTGTCAGGTGCGCACGCCCACCGACACGTGGAGTGGCTTCGGCTTCTCCAAGTCGATGCCGAGCTGTGTGGCGCAGGAGGCTTTTGAGTCGGCTCGTCCCTCCTACAAGGCCCCAACACTACCTGCAACATACGAGGTGAGGCTTGCACCAGACATTAACAAGGGACCTAATGGATTTTAGATATGTGGATGTGTATGTACCATTGTTGATTAAGTCATACATGCATCAATGCGGTAATATTTCATTGTACTGTCAGTATTTATTTTACCGGTAGACCACACTCAGGCCTGTGACTTTTTTTACAGGTGTCCCTGAATACATAAAAGATTACAGCTGCCACAAGAAATAAAACAAATTACATTGACCTAAAACGAGTAACATAGCACTTATGGTCAAGACAATCAAAGATGAATACCTGTCATATTTCAGTCTGTTTTTAAAAACCATTGTGTTGGTAAGTTGCCTTTTCTCAGTAGAGAGTTTGTTTCACACAGGTCCCTGAAATGGTAAAGGTAACATTGTAACATAATTGTCATGTCCCCTTCCTGTCCTTGTTCCAGTCGACCAGTGGTCCCCCCAGCCCCACAGAACCCTCCCCACCGAGTGTCAGCCCCTGGGGAGACAGAAACGGATCCTCCCTTCCTCAGCAGGAAGACTTCACCTCAGAGAACAGAAGAAAGCCTCCCCACAAATGTAAGTATCTATATCTGTATTAGTCAACACGATTTGCTGCAGTTCTTTCGAGACTTGCCAGAGGGCACACTTACAAATCAAACTTACTTTTGATATGGATGTTGGACCTGTTATGGGACAACATTATTTTCACTGACATAACATTATGAATTTTGTATCAATTCTCCAATACTGTTTCCTTTACAGATGATTTCTCTCTGAGTGCGAGTAACTATATAGACAGTGTGTCGCTCCCTTCGAAAACCAAGTGGAGCTGTGACAACGACCTTAAGGCCACTGACCTCCCCGACCTCTTCATGAAGCTAGGACTGGGCAAGTACTCTGATGTGTTCCAGCAACAGGAGGTAAGCAGCACTGGTCATACATTCTGATTTGTGTAATTGTCTTTTGATTATGTCAAGCATCACTTAGGCTATGTACATACCAAAGATCAAGACAATCATCCATCAGCCACTTCTTGATTATCCTCTTTCAAAGATCTTAACAAACTGATGTACAAGCGCTATCTACCACCCAAAAACCGTGACCATACCATCTCCAGAACACGAGATATCAAAATCAGATGGACACAAGAATCTGGATAGACACAATAAATTTTCTCAAGTCTTATTCTTGTATTTCAACATGTTGCTGAATAAACAGTAAATTTTACATATCCTCTGTTATTATATTTCAGTCCATACCATATATGGTATGGATGAAATATATTGTGTTCTCTCATGTTTCTTCTTCTCCTCCTGCCAAACAGTCAAAGGGATTCAACTCCGCCATCATTCAGCCAAATGACTTGAAATTTGGCATGGAGGTAGAGTGGGCCAATACCCCCAGGCGTTTTTTTCATTTTTTTGATACATGCCTTTGAAAAATTTTTATGAAGGTTTTTTGGGGCATTTTTCGACAAAAAATGGACTTTTGGATCCTGAGCCCTGGTATTACAACCAAATGATCTGAAATTCGGTATAAAGGTACCTTGAACATGTGTCTACTGAATAGCTGTCACATATTTGGCATACACTCCACTTGCAAATGACTCATTTAGGGGACTTTAATGGCTATTTCAGACCAAAAAAGGGCCAAAAGTGCTGTACCCGTTCCACGTTCTATCTAAAGAATGGCCTGTTCCATCTGCCGTTGGCCATGGAACACGTGTTCCATTTGCGGGTTACCTGGGGTCACATTGCACGTAAGTCGTGCGCAATGACCCACACATTCAATTTTATGTGCCCAAGACCTTCAAAATGTATCAAATCTCATCATTGTTAGTATTTGCATTCCTGTAATAAGATTAGTAAAGCTTTCGAGATCCAAAGTGCTTGCTCTAGCATCTTTGTTCTTAATTACATATAGCTACTATTTAATTCATTTATTTGAGAGCCTTTGAAAGTTTTGCACTGGGGTAAGTTTGGAATAGTCCACTTTTGCGTGGGAGGGAGATGGACTGAAATATGCTGTATTTGCTCCCAAGCAAATGTCGGCCTTTCTAGTGAGGTTGTGCTTTCTTGCTATTTAAGCTATACAAATGGACCAATGCCTTCTCATCTTCCAGATCGACCTTCAGACATTCATGACCTTGACAGACCAGGACCTTAAGGAACTTGGTATCACCACGTTTGGTGCACGACGGAAGATGCTTCTAGCCATATCAGGTATGCCAACGTTTTCACTCATTGGTAATGCTTGCATATATTTACTAGGAACAATGGATGAATTCAGATGCAAGTAAACTTGCCTCTGGTCAGTATGGCAATCAGATAGCGGTACTGATCAGTTCGCTGTACAGAAGTGACTGTGAATACTGTGAACATAGAAGTACATAGTACCATGAAAAAATCACTGTATAGTGTATTATTTTATAACTTCTCTTTGCCCCCAGATCTCAACAAACCCCGACGAAAGTCGCTCTTCACCCCGTTCCCCAACGCCTTCGACGGTGACCTGAGCGGCAGATCCACCCTGCAGCACAATCCTGACCTCTCCAGTGCCCTGCCATGGTGACCTCTGACCCCACCGACCTTCGACCCCACCAAACACGTGAACACAGAGGACATCAATACTTATGGTTGATGACCTTTTTTTATTTTAAATTTCTGTAAATTTGTGGACATAACTGACAGCACTGAAGGTAGAACCCCCTGATTGGTGAAATTCATGTGACACACAGGAAAATCCTGTGATAGGTGAGATAGAGTCATGTGACGTGCCAGTTCCATCTATTTTGGCCAGTAGCTGTTGCTGATTTAAAGGTGGTATGCTAACGGTAGACATTCATGTAAGGAAACACTCTAGGAATTATGTGGCCTTATCTCAATTGTGTGGCTCAAAAGCGACAAAGTACTTTCACCATATCACCCTCGAGCTCCCACCAGAACATTCCAATCAAGATATCAGGGAGAGAACGATCTACTTTTGACCAAGTGTCCTTTTGAACGGCCACACAACCAACCTTATAAGTGCCACAGTTACTTTAACCACCCCTCTGAATGAAATGGATGTGGCCAAAGTCAGTATGACTCTCTGTCCCAAAACGTACTTAATGATGTTCACAAATACAACCCCTGTGTTGGGAATGGAATATTCCATGCTAACCCAGCACCAACTGCAAGGCACAAGAAATGTGGAAAGAACCATTAGACTTTAGGGGTGCTCTGTTGTACATGCCTGTTTGAAAGTGACAGGAAAAATATCCAACATGTTAGTGCATTCCACCTCACCAACTACATGTACATGTGTCTTCTGCCATGTCAGTGACAAACAAATGACAAAAATCTTGTTGGCTAAGTCTGGTAGCAGCCTAGGACTAAAGTTTTCTCAAATTGTAGCCCATATTTCCGACGTAGTTGTCACACGATGTTAGTGATGTGACAATGTACTTAATGTAGTGCCTTCTTCCACAAGGTGATTAGAGCAATAAGTATAGACAGCAACATTCCACTGTCAAGGAGCACAATGTAGGGGTTTATAGGTGCAAATGTAGGCCTATATCTATGTCTCTAGCATTAACATGTCTTGCCTATATATACATATATAACTATATATATGTGCTATCAAGTAGATATACTGAGTTCTGAACAATAAGACAGGCCCAATGTGGAGATGTTGTGTTCCAAAATACTTAGTACATTATGTGCTTCAGAAATTTTAGAGTAGAGGACACAAACACAGGTGAATCTTGATGCAGAACAACTTTGTCTGTGTGAGAGTGCACCAATGCTGCAGCTGTGATTTGCCTGGTATGTGGTTTGTGGTTGAAAGGTCTTTCTGGCTAAGCAAGTTATTAGAGAGAACATTGCTCATACGTCTAGAAATGGAGTAACTAGAAAGTACAAAGTCAACAACCAGTTCACCTGTACAGGGAAAACTGGGAGATGCTTGGGATAACTCAGCCAACAGGAAAAACATTTTAATCTGAGAAAGGTGTTCTAAGAATCACTCTAAACTAGAAAATGTAGGTGTAGTTGTATTTTTGAGAAAACTTTGGTCTGTTGCTACAGTCATCAGGGAGCTATTTTGTGATGTTTTCAGGAGGACAAGAAATGTTTGTTTGATATGTAAAAAAAAGTTACTAGGCAGTGCCTAGAAAATGGACTTGGAATAAAAGTTGTTCCAGAAAATTGTACCATTACTTTTCTGAAGTCTCATACGATATTTAGGAGAGATTTCTGGTTTCCTACCAAATTTGATCAATTTGTTTCCAAGACTTGGAAAACCCGACTTTGGGGCCAAAATCATGTCACTGTGCCTTACGAATAGCTGCGTAACTTGTTTGCGGAAACCAGAAAATTAGTTTCTGTGTTTTTTTCTTTTTACAAGATGGCTTCCCTGAGAATGTAAGAGCCTACTCTACAGATTTGCAAGTTCAGTTTTATACCTGGCATGATTAATGTACTCATGGTGTTCCACGTAAATCAGAGCTTATTCTAACACAAGTGCCAATCACAGGCAGGTTGGTGGATATAATCACACATCCGGACAACTCCCTATCCTGGCAACTAAGTGTACTTTTCTACTGGTCATTAACTGTGAATTATCTTTTCAAACTGAAGAGTTGAAAACGCCTAAAAAAGGCATCGTCATTGAGTCAGCTGTATGTCAGTTGTTTTGGTTAGTACGTCGTCCAGGTGGGAGAATGAAACACACCCCCTACGTAAATATGCATATGGAAAATATATGTAAGTGTGAAGACAAGAACACAAGTAAAGAATGTGGTCAACAAGAAGTGTACAAAAAAAAGGCAATCTGTGTACAGAGTAAAAGTATTTTTCAGAGAAGCACAGGACTTGCTACCTGATATGGTACTTAGTTGTGAGTTAAAAAGACTCCTGTTCTTGCTATGTAAGTTATTTTTTTGTAGCTTTGCACCCGTAAAATGCCTTTATAGGGTGTAAGAATGTGGCTTGTTTGTTACTGTGACCATCGGCTGTTAGATATTGCCTTCACTGTTGTTTTAGTTGAATGATTTAAAGGTATAAGTAGTTGTGAAGACCACTGAATGCGAGCCATAGTGTGGTTACTTATGTATGAATATGAAGACAAAGGTAGCATCCACACATTGTGATCACTAGTGTTCATAAAAACATATGAGATGAAAGTTTATATATACGTAATATTAGCCACATTGTCTTTGTTTGAATGCTGTAATATTGATCAACGAACTCCTTAGCATTTTAAGGCTTTTGAAACTCTGTTTGTAACAAATTTGTTATAATATTCTTATGTTGGACTTATGCCAGGCTGGTGGTGAAGAGTCACAAAAATCTACATTACTTGGTAACATCATTATGTATTCATCAAAATATATGACAACAATCAAGAGAACATATAAAAGCTATTCTTCTTTGCATGTTAAGAGGCTGCCTTGCAGAGAAGTGGTTTCAAATATTCAAATAATGATGAAAAGATCAAATTTTATCAGAGGACAGTTCTTAAAGCAGACCGTGGAATATAGCAAACTTTTAATGAACAATGATTTTATTTTCATTCCTTGATAACATCCTAGTAATGTCAAATGTTTCTGTGTTTGGAAATACTAGTACTACATTCTAAGTTTTGGCGCAGTTGTCACATTAATTTCCCAGAGATGCATTATGTTCTTCAAAGTCTGCCACTTAATTAGACATAATATAGAGTGCACGATATACATGTATTTGTGTACAGATCAGTGTGTTTTGAAATATGTTTGAATTTTGTGTAGTGTCATCATGTTTCTTTGATTTATGGAAGTCAAAAGGTTTCAAGCAAGGTGAATTCTATCACAATTGCTTCCAAGTTGTAGTAACAATTATGAATTTCTTTAATCTAATTTTACATGAAATATTTTCATAATGTCTTAAAAAGGAAACAGTCATGCTTGTAGTACAGATAGGCAGGCTATGCCTCCAAGCATTGTTATAAAAAATCCTTTTGGTTATTTGCCTGTGCTTCATTTGAGCATACATGTAGAATTCTGAGATGGGCTTTGTGAATTACCTCCATGGAGCTCTGCGGAGAACTCAGCAGAGGAAATTCATCAGTCCACAGTTTGGAATTCTGACGAAAACGTTACATCATAGCTAGAAGTAGCTCGTTGCTTCCATTCATTTTGGCTGGCCCGAATCTAAGAGCTTTGATAACTGTTAAGAGGCCAAAGTGAGCTTTGGCTATCATTTATGTCAATGTTTAAATACCCAAGGTTAAGCCTAAATGTTACTGTCTGTTAAAGCTTTTCATTAAACATATTGCAGTCTATACTTCATGTGTATGTCTTTCTTTCTTTGGAAAAGTTCTTGCATTACTCTCGTGATGAGAAATAACAGGAGTTCCACAATCTTATACTTTGACCAGATAGCCAACTGATTATAAGTGTTTCACATTGATTGTGCAAGTAATTTCCACATTTGTGCAAGTTATATCAATTGATCATATTCTCCACCCAATGACAGTCTTATCTTAGACAAAGTAAATGAATTATACACATAAGGTCCGGATTTGAATAAGTTATGTTTAATGATGCAAATGTGAAATTCCCAGCAGTTACCACTATGGAATTAACATAGCAATTTCTCATTATGTATGCAAATTATGACAACCACAATTCACGACCCTAGCGTGTCCAGATCACTAGATATCAAAACTATAACATGAAGACAGAGGTCAACTGTTGACTTACTTCCTATCTAACAGTTTGTGACATCGCCATGGATCAAAAACGCGCCAAGCGGCCAAAAAATCACTGCAGTAATAGGTGCAGCAATTTAAGCAACCTGTAATAGGCGAAATTTAATAAAAAAACTTTCACTATCTTACTCTTCCAGACAGACAAAAAATGCTTAGACTATATTTCTGACTCAGTCAAATTCTTTCCTTTGAAAGTCGTCCATTTTTATTGCCTTTAAAATTGGCAAACACGCAGTGAGGTAAATCTGCCATTATGGTGCAGTCATCAATTGAAACGCTAGAGGCCGCTTTTGATCCATGCACTTCGTCGTTGTAACTTGTAAGCGTCCACTTGTAAGCAGTAACTTTAATATGACTCCGCAGCCTTGTATTCAAAAAGCTATTCGTGAAAACTATGTGAGTAATAGGAATGGTATATTTCTAAACCGTTTTTCATGTATAAGATTGAATTTGTCTTCGTAATTAGACTAACAGCACCATATTAATTAGACAAGGCCGTTTTGCACACCTGTGTAAAAAGACTCATTTGGCATGGTCCCTTCAAAATGGTGGTTTGGTACAGAAGTATTCTCTGGGATGCTATTTTTGTACAACTTTCAGTGTACCTTCTCGAGTTTTTTTCGGAGGAATGTCTTTCTAAAGTGTACAGTAGAATGTTGTGAACTTTTTGCGGTAAAATTATGCTGTTCTCGTGATGTTTTGAGGAGAAAATGCGGATGTTCCCGAGATGGTGAATTTTCGAGAAGACAAGAAAATGGCGACATCGTTTGGAGACAGAGCGTGGTTCAAAGGCGACTTCGCTTTTCGTACAGGTAACAACAAACTATTTGTCTAACATTGTTCCGTGGCAAACAGAACATGTGATATTTAACAACTTATATTCAGAAAGAAATGACATAGTTCTCTAATTCCGAGTGGCCATTCACTGAGACAAACTTTGAAGAGTCAATTTTGCCGCCTTTAAAAAAAAATACATTTCCATGTGCGGTGTGCTTGAACAGTTCTGTATGTCTCGATTTGTGTGGGTTCATATTTCTGAAAAAGAATGCTGTAACAAAAACTACATTTTGTTTTTCTCCACGTGGCACAAAAACACCTATTGGAATTTGCACGTGTGCATAATATATTAGCCTCCTTCGCAGACTTCT